GAATCCTCACTGATAGTTTGAAAATTGGAGAATTAGAGAATAAAGTTGCTAAAATTGAAAACTGTGTTTTACAGACAGCAAGCAGACGTACCCTTAAACCTAAGTCAGTTGTACATCTCGCTACCAGGTGACACTTTAAGCACAGCTTCATCTTGGCATTACTGCTAATGATATTCTTCTATAATAAGCTTGTCTGGCTCTGATCTCACACTTGTGTTTAATTTCTACCTCTTGAAATCCTTCTTTCCAACTCCCGTCATTGAATAGGGCGTTGCTGAGCTCCAAGCTAGGATATACTACTGAATCGGGCTGTCACTGAACATATCAGATAATCTCTATGTAACTCTTTTTGTGTGTGAAGGTAATAATGCTATCATATGTTACATTCGGTAGATATAGAGATTTTCTTACTGTTTGAACAGTGCTTTTACGTGAAAGAGCCTAAGTAAACATTTATAGATGTACCAGTCACATCTTCCTGTGTTCAAGGCTTGCTGTTACTGTGGCCCTTTCCGCCAGCAGTTACCCATTCTGCAATATACCTGTCGGGCCTGTTTTACTGACGTGGGGTGTAGTCGGCTCTAGTCTACTTTCTGTTCTCACTGAGGAGTTTCATGGTCCAGATTTCGTGATGATTTGACAAACTGTATGGCTGTGTAGTTACTCTAGAAAGACAGCATTTGGGGTCACTTGAATAGTTAATATTCATTCTCTAAACACGTATGTCCATTTCCACTAATAGAGTAATTTGGTAAAAATGACTATGCAACAACCTTAAGCATCATGAAACAAAACCAGGGAGTGGAGCAAACCTCGCTTGTTTTTTTTTCCCCTACTGTTGGTATGAAAAATAATCCTGTCTATGCTAATGGCACCCTCTTGTCCCTTCTAGAGATTTTTTTTTCTTTTTTTTTTCTTCCTTTCTTTTTAAACCAGAAATTATATCTAAGATTTACCGTGCAAGAAAGAAATCACCTGCTAGGAGACAGAATTTTACAGGCTCAGGAGCATCATTTGTGTGGTGTGTCTCACAGTAACAGCACATATTTAACACAGTCAGAGCAGAATATATGGCTGTGAAAACTGAAGTCTGGTACGGTAGCTGTGATAATGATTTAGTCTGGCAGGCCTGAGAGTATCTCGGTTAGCATCATGCAGATGAGATGCCTGCAGGAATTAGAACAGATCTGGATACTTGCAGCGTCATGTATACAGAACGAGGCTACCCACCTACTCACTCATTATCACAAACTGCAACTCCTCCGTCCATGTTTTCAAGCACCTTCACTAAATCAAAATCAATGCAGTTGATATTTGTGCGTGTACCCACTTGTTTGCTCTTTTCTCCTCTGGAACAGTCTCCTATATCCCATCACCTTGGTTGCTGACTAGGGAAGCCCGAAAGGGCCCGTAGCTTCTTTCAACGGTTTTCTAACGCGCTGCCACAGCGGGGCTTGCGGGGCTTCCTGGCGTCCGAATTCAGCCTGGCAAAGAGATCGCGCGGGCGGTGGCAGTGGAGGGAGAAACGCGTGCAGCTGAACAGAGGTGAGGTGTGGTGCAGTAAATTAGGATGAGGTGCTCGGAGGTGGTACTTGCAAGGATTATATTTAACCACTCTTTTTCCCAATTTATACTTGTTTCATTTAAAAATGAAGATCTTGGATTTGAGGCAAGCTTAAATTTACAGCAATACAATTTCTCTGTCTTCTACGGAGGTATTGATTCACTGTCATTTTTGTAATATTTTTATCTTTTTCCCTTTATTGTGTCTTGCTAAGTCTCAGCTAACGCACTAACTTGCATCAGCACTTTTACTGTGCTGAAAAATGTCCTTTCATCTCCTGATTATCTTTATGGACATATTTTAGCTATGCTTTGCTATAGTTTAAACTTTATATGGATATTAATTGAGGTTGTCATCAGCATGTTAATTAATAAACTTTAAGATAAAACAAAGAACTTGCTAGGTGGATTTCCTCAAACGCATTTTCTGTTCAATTCTGTGTGTTTTCCAGTGACTTGAGAAGATCGCTCCAGTTGACTCCATCGCTAGTATCTAGCATGCTTTCTTCAAAATTCAGGCATTTACTGTCTGGTGAAAGTGTACTGGCTTTTATAGATTCACCGGTCAAACTGTTTTCTTTCCTGCTTGGCTTTTCTTGAAAGTAAACTGACAGGTTTCCAGAGCTTTTCTGCAATAATGAATTATTGGAAGAAACATTTTCCGCTTGTTTCCAGAGGGATTAACAAGGTTGGACTTGGAAATAAAACCAGGAGGATCTGGTTTATCATCCTTGCGATGTGTTGTTGCGTGTGCAAAGTCAAACTCTTTCTGAGGGGAAACCGCGCGCTGCCTGGCCGGTTGCTGGCTGGCAGGGGCGTCCCAGTACACCCGCTTACTCCTCACCTTGGCACGAGTGGTTGAGAGAAAAGTAGAGCAGGGGAAGGAATTCCTTCAGTACTTTAATAAAAGAAAGATTAGCCACAAATATTAAACAGATAGCATACTAATATCAAATACAACTTGCTTTTTAACTTTAAATTTTTCCAAAATAGAATGACTTAATTTAGTGATGCTGTTGCTAACTGTACAGTATTTGTTCTGGAAAAATGAAGAGAATTGTTCTCGTCTGTATCTAAACCAATGTAGCTTTCATTCGTTTCACTATTCAGTCTTAAACTGGATGCTTCCGAACCTCACTGGCTGATTGTGATGCTTTAGGCATGACATGTGTATAACAATGAAACTAATTCTGTCCCTAGTATCTAAAATTATTTTAAAATCAAAGTTCTTTGCAGCACGCTAAGATAGCAAAGTGTTTCCGTTCCTTGTAGGTTGCCCTCCAAGCTGGGGGCAGGGGGCTTGACTTATTTTTCAGAGTGAACTTTGAGAGGGAGAATGGCTGGCGGAGAAGGCAGGGTCCTAAGTACCAGCTGAGAGTGGTCGAAACAACCTTACCAAGCATTTGTTTATAATTTGTTTGCCTTCCATACAATCCCGTTTCATAAGCTTGTTATTAGTCAATGCATTGTGTAGTGTTTGCGGTTCTTTGTTCTCTGTTTTGATGAAGAAGTTTAGACAGAAAAATTAACATGTGGTATTCATGATCAGTTATCCTCTGTAACTTATGCATAGTTGAAATTAGTAGTGGGCAATCAGTTCATACTCTGAAAGTTGATTTTGTTTAAGTGCTCATTAAATTCTTTCATATGCTACATCCTGCTGTGGCAGCAAGAAATCTGGGTTCAATTCAGTCTGTCTGAGATTTTCTATGTGAATTTGGGTGAATTATTTAACGTATATGAGCTGAGACATCTTTGTGCTTGCTACCTGGGTCTAAGTGGGGAATTGGCTTGGTGATAAAAGGACAGAGACATGGATGAAGGAATGTGGATGAAGGGAAGAGGGACTTGTGTGTGGAAAATTTTGCTTCGATTCAAACTCCCCCCGCCACCCCCCACCACGCATGTAGTATATGAGCTGAGACATCTTTGTGCTTGCTACCTGGGTCTAAGTGGGGAATTGGCTTGGTGATAAAAGGACAGAGACATGGATGAAGGAATGTGGATGAAGGGAAGAGGGACTTGTGTGTGGAAAATTTTGCTTCGATTCAAACTCCCCCCGCCCCCCCCCCCATCAGAATTAGAACAATTGAAGAAAATCCATTAGGAACTGTTAAATCTGAAGACACTGTCACTAGCTGAAGTCTCTGAGCCACTAACAGCTGTTCCTACATGCGTGCTCTGCGCTCAGATTCTTCCCTACGCAGTCGTTGGAAACAGGAGTACCATGTCTTTGCTCTGACCTGATTTGACTGTTCCCATATTCCGTTACATACGGGACAGCTGCTCACCAGCAATAGCAGGGTTCAGGAAGGAATTTTCCTGTAAAAGCCTGTCACCAAGGCCATATACAATTTTATACCTTATTCACAGCATAAGTGAAAGGGAAGTTCTGCTGAGGCTAAGTTATTACAAGTTAGTAGATGGACTAACACAAATCTGAGTGAGATCCAGAGCGGTGGGATGGCTAAGGACCTGCTCTCAGAGGTAACATAAACACCCAGTGGCTGGTTAAGACTGAACCGCAGCAAGTAGGGGATAGTGGACTGACTCATCCGCACTTTTTGAAAGTGAGAAAGACCTTGAGACCCAGCACATGGGGAGTCTTTTTGCCTTCTCCTCAGTGACTTAGTTGGACCAACGGCTTTGGGGACTGCAGCATTGTGAGTGTTGATGACAGCAGAGGTTGTGCTAACAGGATGGATGCATCCTGTATGTTCTAAACAAAGTAGCCTGGTGGCTAGTCTAACACCTGCCATCCATAACTACCCTATCCTTTCCGCCAATACCATTCAGAGTGTTAACCCCACAGTTCTGGTCGTGTAGCTGACAACACACTTAACTGCCTATCTTCTTTCCCCTCAGAATTATGGTTTGGAGACCGAAAACCTGAGAACTCTGTCTCACAAGCTGAATGCCTCAGCCAAAAATCTTCAGAACTTTATAACGGGTAGAAGGAGGAGTGGCCATTACGATGGCAGGGCCTCCAGACGACTGCCAAATGATTTTCTTACCTCTGTAGTTGACCTGATTGGTGCTGCCAAGAACTTACTAGCCTGGCTGGACAGGTAACTTACTATTCCTTGATCCTTTACGCATGAGAATAATTCTTTGTGTTGCTTTATATTTGTTCTTTCTTTTCCTCTTGTACTCTTTTATTCTAATATTAAAATGACAGTTCTGGAATGCCAGCTCTAGATTTTGTTTTGCAAATTTCTCAAATACTACAGGCAAAATGCAGTACCCTGTTCTGTCAGGAGGGTGTTCAAGTTTTCTTAAGTTACTTTTTCTGATTCTTTTCAGTCTGATAGTATTTTGTGCAAAATGAATACTTTTGTGCTGTTCCAAGTTGACATCTCACTGCCACAAGTGGTAATGTCATCAGTAATTTCAGAAGGAAGGGTAAGGAAGTAAAGATTGTGGAGTTTAAACTGTCCTTCAGCCATTAAAAAGACACAAAAAAAGCTGGAGTTGGGCAAATCAATTAAGAATACTCAAAATAAATTATAGTACTTGCAAGTCTGAAAATTAAATTTTCTCATTAGAATTTTTATCAAGAGTAGGATTGGTGTATTAAGCACAGTTGTGGTGTTGGTTAATGATCAACAGTCAACCACTGCTTTTATTTACGAACTGAGAATTTGATTAGAAGTATCTCTCTGAATAGGTGTAGTTAAAATTTTGACTGTCGAAGGACAGAAGCCAAAACATAAAACAGCATCAGAGCATTTATGTTTTGTTTCTCTTTCTGTGGAGTTACAGCAATGGATAGCTTTATCTTGAATCTGAATGCTCTTGAATGTATAAATGGCACCTTAGACATCGCAGTGAGTGAATCACCCTCCTTTACAGGATTTGTACAATCCTGGTGACATCTTCCTAACCTAATGCCAGCAGTCATATTCTCTCCGGCTATGACTTTGTCAGTTCTTATAAATTCAAATGGGGTCAGATTCAGCCAGAATTTGGAAAGCCTGAAGAAAATCCAAGTGTGCAGGAAGCTGTTAGTGACGAAGTAAGCTTTACTTTGCTCTCTGAATTAAGGTGCTAACTGCTACTGAAGAGTGATGTCATACTAGAAATGGTGTCTTTTTAATGAGCTGCACAAAGGACATCTGAACTACTTACAATCATTTGGGAGCTCCTATTTCCACTTTACACAAGAACGGTAACTTCTGATGTTCTGGCCAAAATCCAGTTTACATCCTTCCTGCCTACATTGTTTCTTGTTTCAAAGGCATATTTTACAGAAGTTGTGTAACTTGCTGCTGGAGATTGTCATGATCAAGCGTTTTACATTTCTGTGGTGTAGAACCAATCCCTATATTACATATATATGCTTATACTGTAAACAGGAGTTATAATCCTTAACGCTGTATGAACCTGTCCTTCCTTTGTCACAGGTCTCCATTTGTCAGCGTGACAGAATACTCACTGCTGAAAAACAACATTGTTCAACTGTGCCTGGAACTAACAACCATTGTGCAACAGGTAGGAGTGGTTATCTTCCGCTGAGTCCTCTTCAAACTGTTGCTTAAAAATTGCAATAGTAAAAACATTGCAAAGCTTCTACTTCACCAGAAAAAACTGTTTTAGCATTTCCTCTCTGTTCGTTGCATATTCTCTTTCTCTGGGAGTGACGGGAAGATTTTTGGACTTTGGTTATCCTCATATGCCTGGATAGCTTTGAAGGACAGTGTGAAGTTAAAAATAATCCACTTTGCTTTTGAGTAGACAATTTTATGTCTGGTTATCTACCACCATGCAAGAGTTAAACAAAAGAACAAAGCCACAGTGGAAACAGCTTAACTACTGCTAACAGTTTATTACAGATTAAAATATGAATGATCAAGAATTTTTCAGGGACAAGTTCTTACAATACATACAAATACATCCAGAACCTGTACTGTGGCTTCTTCACTTAAAGGGGAGCCAATTATATGAAAGTTGTTTAGTGATTAACATGAAATATTCATAACATTAAACAAACCAAATATGGAACAAATAAGGGTAATAATATTATCATCACTGACATTCATTAATTAATTGTGATATAGTACAGTCCACAAGTACATAGAATTAATTTATCTGGTCTGTAGTGCTACCTAATATACAAATAATAATAGTCTCTGACAGTGTCTGCCCCTGAAGTAAGACAAGAGCTAACACACAGCTACAGAAAGACTGTGTGGGAATTAGTTTTAGAAATATTTACAGTGAGTTTCTCCTCTTATGAGTGGAGAAAACTATTGGTGAGACAAAATAGTGTCATTGGAATACATAGAGAGGTTAGAGAACAGGTAGGGCTGTCTTGGAATGAAGCAAAAGAGAGAGATGAAAGTACTGCAGGAGGGAAAGCAAGGAGAAAGCTTAGCTAAAGCTGTAATTTTGTAAGCACCTTAAACTGGTCCTGCCTCCAGTCTACAGGGCTCCATTGCCTGCCCCTGTCCTGTGCTGGCAGATTGCCATGGAAGCTCACAGCAGACCCATCATAGAACGCATTTAATTTAAAAGGCTTCCTGGAACAGTAACATTCTGCAAACTCTTTTCTGCCCCCCCACCCCCTTCAATTTCATTTTAGTTCTTGGAAAAAAACAACTAAGGCTGGTAAATATCAGTCTTTGTATTTTACACTATTATCCTTAATTTATAATATTCAGCTTTATTCCTTTTAGAAATTTTGTCCTTTATGCATTTTTGCAGTGCAAAACAAAGGTCCTTTTTCTCTTTTCTTGGTTTAAAAATTCCGATGTAGGCATTTAATTATTTATGTATCTTTATTAAGCTTCCTCTTACAAGGTGTTTATAGCACTAGGCTTTTTTTGATTTACAGACTAAGCAAAAAGAACTTCTCTACAGTATAAAAAGTTTGGATTCTGATTCCGCCCTTCAGCTGATATTGCGCTTCATTTGTGTGAGTTTGATTTTTCCCCGTGGTCTAGGTGAAAATAGTGTAATTTTGAATTGCTGCCTCCATCTCTGCCGTTCATTTCACTGCTTTTGCAGATGAAATTGAGTCCTCCTCTGCCAGGAACCGTTCGGTTCTTTTTTTTTTCCAATTCTTCAACTCCACTCCCAAAGCTGTCCTCCTTTTGACAACTCAAAAACAATTTATCTTTTAGCAAAAACTCCAAGACATTCCAAGATGAAAAATGTTTAGTTAGTTCTTCAGGTCAGTTACAAATCAAGTTTTGTCTTTGCTTTATGTTGTTGTCAGTTCTGGGCTCTTTGATAGTCATCTATTAAGATCTTTTTACAGTGTATTAAACTTAGCATGAGAAAGAGTAGATAAAACAAAATCATTCATAGGGAGACATTTGCTGTTACTAAATCTGAGGAAAATTGATCCTAATGTGTGAAAGCAGAAATGTCTCACCTAAACCAGAACTGCAGGCTTAACTGTAAGCTAAAATATGAATTGAAAGGCATAACTAATAGAAGCCTAGATCTCGGATCCTTTCAGATACTTCTTGTTTTATGAATGATATAAATTTTAAATATCTAATTTAGTCAGTGTGAAAGTGGCAGTCAAGGCTATGCATTTGGCACATTAAGCGAGGAATGTCTTCAACCTGAAGATTTATTTTGTGCAAAATTAACATGCCTTGTGTGCATAACTTAAAGCTTCCACTCAAGGTGAACTTCCTTCTAAATAGGGGGCATTACTATGTAACCTTAGTTCAATAGACACTGCTTATGAACCTTCTTGCTAGGATGTACTGTATGTATCTGAGTGCCAGACTCTTCGATCTAACCAGGAAGCAGCTTTTTTAGCTTTTAGGTTTTATTCTTTCTCTGTGTGAGTGTGAAGATGAGATCTTCATTCAAAATTTAAGCCAAACAGATGAACTGCAATGTTGGGTAGTATTATTTACATACCATGTAAATGTTACGATGAATAAGCAGTCATTTGTTTATCTGTAAATAGTATCTTGTCATACTGGTTATAAGAACATTGATCTTTATTTTCTAGTTTTAGAGAAGTTTTATACCTGTCTTTTTATGCTTGGAAGGTACTTGATTTTACTGAGTTTTCTCATCCCCCACGATCTCGCCCTCACTAAAATAAGTAGGGAAACTATAAAAGAACAGCATTATGCAGAAAGCTACAGAAACATCCTGATTTTGAGGTGCAATGTCCCATCAAAATGCGTTGATGATAATGTGCAAAAAAAGCATGTTAGATCAGAGTATTGCAAATGTTTGAGCTCTCTGTTGACTTCGTTTTGAAGTATAGCTCTAGCTTTTGAAGTATTGCTCTGAAAATGAATCCCCACCAGACTAACTTAACTGAATTTGGATTTGGTCATGCTATAGTGCCAAGGCTACCCTGGGGGAAAGAACACTGGAATAACGGAGGAAGAATAAGTTTGGAATTTGGTTCATAAAATGTAGCCATTGGTTAATTTTTCATTGAGTAGAAAGAGTTCCCTAGCTCTACTAGAAGTTGGTTGTCTGATTATCTTTCCTGATTATGTCAAAGATGTTTAAACCTGTGCTAGATGCTTTTGATGCATGCATTAAACTGCATGAACAAACATTCTCTAAACAAAAAATTTGTCTGTATCTTACCAAAGAATGTCAGCACAACTCAGGCTAATTTTTTTCCAACTAAAGCCAAACAAATGTTGCTTGTTCTCCCCTTTATGAATGTTAATTAACCTCACCGAGATAAATTCAGAGACCCTATCACAGATTTTTACCCTGATTTTAGGCCAATACTTTGTGTTTAGGATGAAGCATATGTTTTTTAAAGCTATGTAGCTTGTACTGCAATTCACAGAAATTGTTGATTCTTAGTAGTTTTCTGTACCTGCTCTAACTTTTAAATTAGCCCTCCTCTGAGCAGGTGGTTGGACTAGATAACCTCCAGAGGTCCCTTCCACCTGAATTTTTCTGTGATTCAGCAACTGCTATTAAAAATGTGGGTGTTATTTTCAGGTTGAACTTTGCAGACTTCAGCTTTCAGCCCCTCAATCTTATTTTGCTTGCATTTTCTAAAGAACATTTTGTTATCAAACATCTGTTCACTGTTTTCTAAATAGAGATTATGATCAAGTATTTACCTTAATTAAACCAAGTAAAATAATTTAGTGTATTTACTGGTGTATATTTGCCTAATTTCAGTGCAATCTCGTTCTTTTTAATGTATGCATTCCAGAAGAGTGTTTGATTTTATGTATGCAAGCAATATACTTTTAAATATCATTTTGTCATATCCACCTTTCAAAGACTGCGGTAGATCTTTACTGCAGCATTATATTGGGAAATGGTGTTCAACTGGCAAACAACCCAAGGCTTTAAGTTCTCTTCCAAGCTGCTCCTTTATAGGGTCTCTGTTTCTTTTCAGTATTTGACTTAACTCATGCTGTTTTATCGTACTAAGTTAATGAACTAAATATTTTACATGTATTAGACTTTTTATGTGTTAGTTAACTGTCCTCAAGACTTGTCATAAAACATTCTTTATGGTATCTGCAAATTTTGGTAGTACTTGCATTTTTTTCTTTCAGAATTATAAACTAAAATTATTAATATAGTGTGGGTGAGCACAAGTCCTACTGACCTTTTCTCTTTATGAATATTCAGAAGAAAGCTGTTTTACTTTATCAGTTGTGAAGGTGCACTGTACCTTTGCAAGGTAGGATGTTCTGGATAGTGCAGAAGCTGGCTTGCGTGTAATACTGCTGCTGTGACTATTTTTGTAATTCCTGTATTTAACATTTTACAGAGGGGAAATAGAATGCAGCTACTAATTTTTTTAAAGTTTTTTCAACTCTAAGAAAAAACATTTTTAACATGTCATCTTGCTTATGGAGGATGTAGAAAGAATACCATTATAACCATTATTTATTTTCTAAGAAAAATAGATCAAAATTCCATAAATGTTAGTCCTGGAAGATTTTTTTTTTTTTTTTAATGAGATCCCTAGTGCATTGCTATGTATCAGAGAAAAATAAATCAGAATATTGTGACCTACATATCTTAATAGTTTAGTATAATATTGCAAGTGCTTTTAACCTCTCAGTTAAACTAGTCTGATGTATTAAAAAAAAAAAAAAATCAATACGCATCTATTTTGGAAAGAATCCAAAAACCGTTAACATTCTTAATGCTAATGTAATCTTGAATGTGCAACATAAGTATAGCTAACATTAATTCTGCTCTACAAAACAGTAAAATTTCAGTTTTACTATACATAAGTCCTCTATTTTTTGACCTGAAGTAATTAAGTTTGTTCAGAATGAAGCTCATATTGTATTTCTAGCACAGAAATTAGAGGAATAATTTAAAAAGCAGCATTAGCTCTGAAGTCAAACTGTAAGCCCTGCTGTGATCATTTTGTTCTCTTGGTACTCGGAGGGTTAAAGGGAGATGGTGGATGTGCTGTTTGAAGTGTGTAAAACTTGTAGGAAAAATTGCCTTGGGCATTGCCAACCGAACTGACTAATTGAATTCTTTTTTTGCACTGTAGAAAATAACAGTATGAATACAGAAGAAACATCAAAGGGATACTTGACCATGAAATGCTAATATAAATTCTTCTCTGTGTTCCTTGGCACTCACAATCTTCTGATTTTTAACTTTCTTATTCCGTGACAATATTCTTTAAACTGTATTCACTTAGAAATTAATTTCTCTACAAAAATGCCAGTCCTCCAAAATAAACGTGAGGCTTAGAGGGGAGGGTGTGACAGTGACCGGTCCTCCAGGGCCGCGTGCCTCGGGCAGCTGAAGCTGCTCCGCAGCAGCCTCGGAGGGGCCGAGGGACGGGGTCCTCAGAGCAGCCCCAGGGCAGAGGGCTGGAGAGCTGGACATGGCCCCAGCGGATGGGGCACAGCCCAGCGCTTGAGCTGCTGGAGAAGAGGAGCAGAGATCTGCCAGGCGGCTGATATTTCGCTCACAAAGGGTACCACAGCCTAAGCCGATCGTACAGCTAACCTCCTTCTAGAGTAAATGGAGTGAGGGCGTTGGAATCATTTCATGGGAAGTTTAAAGCAATTAACTGTTATTGCTAACATATTAACATCCAGGAAAGAGGAAACCTTGAGAACTATAGGGAATCTTACGTTACTTGAGGGGATCTTTTAGGTGTATCAGTAAGTTAAATTTTACTTAAAAACTTATTCAAGGAAAAAAGAAAAATAAACAGGACAGTTTGGGTTTTTTTACTTCTCATACCCTCATCCTTAAAAATATGTCCTGAAATCCTTATCTTGCTTTGTAGAAAGCTTTTTCCAATGTGACATAACATTTGGAGAAGTATTTAGCAGTTTCCCAACATAATTTTTTCGGTTATCAACCATTAATTCACTTCAATGTAAATAATCAGTGCCAGTCTAGCATTACAAACAAGATTCCTATGACAAACGAGGCCCCTGGCGAGGCGAGGATCCCACCCTGCCTGGTCCTCAGCAAGTTTTGTGGCGGCCTCTTCGTTCCCTCCCTCACAGGGCTCTGCACCCCCGCCAGCCACAGGGTCAGGGTGTCGCTCTCCCTGAACACAGGGAAATGCCGGGATGCATCAGAAATATTTTCTGCTCAGGTTTTGTTACAACAAAGCACCCCTTTGATGACAGGGGGGTGTCGCAGGCCGGCGCTCACCGTGTAGGAGTGTGGTGGGCTGCCTGCCTCGGGCGAGCGGCGGGAGGTGCTGGAGCTCCGGGGCTGAGGGGAGAGGGAGCCTGGCCATGGGGGCTGCAGCCCTCGCTGTGGCTGGCCCCAGAGGTGACCGACTTTCTTGGCTAGTCTATTCTAATCTCACCCTGTCTGGCACACTTGAGTTTTCTGTATTTTCCTTTTAATTCTATGTTTTAGTAAAATATAGCTTGAGAGCCCGTGTGGTGATTCGGAGTGCTGACTGACAGGAGAAGGGTGGTGTAGAGCTGCCTCAGTGCACTTGGGCCCTCTCCGGTAGGAAAGGGTTAAATACTGTCTTGCCACTCCTGTGTCTTGCTTTATAGAGGATTGTACTGAGGAAATCTTCAAAACGTTAAAAGCAGTAGAGGCAGTAGATCTCTTTTAGGAATTTGTATGCTTTGTTTCGTGAAGTAAAAGTAATATTCTAGCCATTGTAATGCCACTAATTCAAAACGCAAGTTAAGGGAGTAATGAGTCTTAAGTTATGTAGTGATAAGATTTATTATTCTTAAAATTATAACTAAAATAGGAAGATGACTGCTCTAGAAGTTACAACTCTTAAGGAAATAAAGAGGTGGATCAGGAATACTGTTTTTCAGGCCTACTTTAAATTGGTTAATAGCAACGTTGTGTAATGGAAAGCTGGGACGGAGTTGTTCTTTGGGAGGCCTTAAGGCAGTGAAACCCACTGGATATCCCTGGACCAGTGCTCAACATGAGCAAGCCCGTGTCCTTTCTCATCCCTTTTTGGTGTGACTTGTGCCTTCCAAGGTCCGAAGCTAGAGCAGTTACGTGACTTCTCTCAAGAGATGGAACCGTTGCTGTTTCTTGTCCCTTGTGGATGGTGTAGACAATCAGGGCCTTGAAGCAAAGGATGGAGTGAATCAAACTGCAGTGTGGGCAGACCGTGCTTAACGTCTTTAGCATCGTGCTTGTCAAAATATTCTCTGTTTACTCTTCCTTCCTGTGCTTTATAGTAACACAAGCTACCTAGCGGTAGGTCTGACACAACTGTCTGCACCCCACGCAACTTGTAGAACAGCTAACACGTTCTGCCTGATTTAAGGCTAGGCAATGTATCTCTCGCTCTGCACATCGTTGAATTTCTGACATGCCGGATTAATTATATTCAATTACTTTTTTCTTACTATCATGAATCTGTCCCCTCTGCCTTACATTTACATCGTTGCTGGTATTGAGCGTGAGAGTTTCATGACTGTAAAGGGAAGAATAGATCCCTGAGGTTAACCAGCCACAAGAGAAGTCAAGTTTCCTAAGATTGTAAAGTAACCTTTTGCACATGACAAAACTCAAGAGATCATTTGTCTTTACAGGTACATCTGTAAGAGATGGTTATCAGCATAAAGCATTCTTTCTTAATAGGAACCTTAAAAGAATGTGCATTAATTGTTTTTGTTTTATTTTACCACAGGATTGTACAGTGTACGAAACAGAAAATAAAATTCTTCATGTGGTAAGTAATCTCAGTATTCTGCTTTAGTATTTTCTAATCCTACCCCATCCACTTAAATGATTTAAAAAAAAAAAATAAAGCTACCATAGGGAATTAAAGCTCCCACTATTTGACACAACTTCTGATGAATTATATCAGTTGCTAAAAGTTAAAGTTTTCATTCATATGATCAAATAGCTAAAAAGTTAAAATTTATTTTGAAGACCGGCAAGGGAGAGATATCAGCTTACCTGTTTTATGACCCCCTGAAACCAACGTAGTGCTAGTTGTGCTTCCTGCCAGCCAGTTTAATGACTGCCCCAGTACTCATTTGTACTAGATTTAACATTTCAAAATGTCTTTTTTTGCATCAACTTAAAGAAATGGAGAGACTCTACCCAAACAATATTAATAAAATATTTTTTCACCTAAGATATTGTTTCCAGTTTCTCTGAAGATTGGAGGCTTATTGAAGATGGTGTCATTCACTTAACCATTCCTACCAAGCGTTTTTACTCCTTCCTAAATTGGAAGTCTTTCAAGTTTAAGGCTTAAGAATCAGCTTTCTTCTGCTTAGGCCTATTTATTTTAGCAGGCAAGGTCAGACACTCCCTCTCACTCCCCTTTCACACAGTTCCATGGGGTAATTCTCTCTGTTATACTTCTAGTTAATTACAAATACATAATTATTGTTCTTAGATTGTTTTAGAAGCTTCGCAGTACTCTTACTAGTGTAACGCTCTTACTAGGATTGCTGGCATGGAATTCCAGCAATGGATCCGTCAGACCTGGTGCATTACTAGCATTACTGGTTGTCAGACTGAGCACTTCGTGCCTTCAGCGCTCGAAAAATCTAATGATGAAGGGGAATGAAAGGATCTTATACAAAGTTATTGATTAGATATTGGCCTTTAAGTTTAAATACTTTATATTTTCCTGGTACTGGCACAGAAAACTTGTACTGACACTGAGATAGAGTTAAAACGTATGGTTAAAGGGAAATCTCAAAGGATTTACAAGTTCAAATAAGCTTTTGACAAGCTCTAACCAAGTGCCTGACTTTTTTTTTTAAAGTCTTTTACACATACTCTGCTTCCAGCGGGGATTAAAATTTGTCATAAAACATTGATGTGCTGTTAAATTCAGAAAGCATGCAGTGACTTTTAGAAAAAAGCTTACTATTGCAAACCTGATTCTGAAAAGAACTTTTAAAAGTGCCTGAAATCTTCTGGGACTTAGAGTGTGTATATATGTATACACACACACACACATACACACACATATATATATAGCATCTTTTAACCCACAATTCTAACTGCATATGATGTCTAGAAATACATCTTTAGCAGGATAGCAGGA